CCCGGGGCCGGGAGGGGGGCAATAGAGTTACCCTGGTGTTGGCCAGAGTGGCCACCAGGGAAAGCTGGGGAGCGCTAGCCTCCCACTAGTTCGAATTAAGGGGCTACACACCCCTTAATTCGAACTAGTAAGTTCGAACTAGGCTTAGTCCTCGTACAATGAGGTTTACCTAGTTCGAACTAAGCGCTCCGCTAGTTTGAATTAAGTTCGAACTAGTGAAGCGCTAGTGTAGTGCCTATCAAAGTTAATTTGAACTAACGTCCGTTAGTTCGAATTAACTTTGTAGTGCAGACATACCCATATAGACTAGCACAGCTACCCCTCTGATACATGACCATGACACTGTCTCATCAACTTTTTTTGGATCTAGTGGATAAGTTTAAATTTGTTGTATCTATTCTTGGCTCGATCATTGATCGTCAGTGTGGCCTGTGAAGTCTCAATCTATCCTTCCCTTGCTCTTCTTTGAGAATGGGGGATGGTATTTATATGTATATGTCACAAGGTCTAATGAGTTCATGTTTGTACAGTGCTTTGAAAAATTACAACACTGTGTAAATACTAAGAATTATTAAATCCTATTCTGGGGGAAAGCCTGACATCTGGTGTGCCCTCTGCCACAGGAATCTTGCTAACACATGGCAGATTTCTGACGACAGATGGACAGCACATTGTGGGGAACATTCTTTTGCTCCTTTGGGCAGGAACAACATGCATCCTTGCATATGCCCTGATGGCAAAAAAAGCGCTAGTGGATACAAATCTACATACTCCCACTAATAGAAATTACGCCCCCTTGGGGACATGATGCAAGGGGCTGTTGTGTTATATGGCTGTACCTTACAATTCACTATTGTACAGTGCAAATACAACATTACTCACTACTTGTGTACATGTGGGACATAGGAAAAGAGGCCCATTTCAAACCTGTTTTTCTCCCAGCACTTTGCATGCTAGATGACAGGATTTAGGATTTAGCCCTAAGTGAACAGAGCCACAGGATTCCTAAACATAGTTCCTTTAAGAACACTTTGCTTAGTGAAGCCAATGGACATGTTCAGGTTTACTGAAAGCACACATGATGTAGCTTAGGCTACTTCCAGACTGCATCCCTCTGTCTGCAGAGGGATGCAAATAAAACTTTGAAAGTGCAAATGAGCCCGGGATTTAAATATCCCGGGCTTCATTTGCATACTCGCGTTCTGGCGCTGTGCCGCTCATGCGCCATTTCGAAAGTGAACGTTTTTTTGAGGAGTACAGGATCTGTCAAAAAAGCTCCCTGCTGTTGGCAGAACCATAGCTACAGAGCACTTTCACTTTTGAAATGGCGCGTGATCGGCATAGCGCCGGAACATGAGTATGCAAATGAAGCCCAGGATATTTAAACCCCGGGCTCATTTGCACTTTCTAAGTGCTTTATTTGCATCCATCTGCTGACAGAGGGATGCAATCTGGAGGTAGCCTTAGACTGCATGCCTCAGTCAAAAAAGTAGGTATGTGTAAAAAATGGCCCATTTCCCTCACATTGCAAATTGTTGCAACTATTCTAAATTTTAAACAATTTCTATCTTGTTGTGTTCCTCTCATAACAGCCAAACAAAACTGTTACAATAACATAACTCAGAAGTTACAAATTTTAAAAGGTGATAGCAAACCAATTATAAATATTATATCTATATCTAATCTATATCTATATCTATATCTATATATCTATCTATATATATATCTGTGTTTATAGAAAGTGATAGGCACTTTATATTATCTGAAATTTCAGCACGCTGAAATGAAGAACATAGACACAGGTTTACCCTATCTTCTAAAAGAAGAGACATGAAGGACAAATAATGCACTGTACTGAGTGTGGGACAATGCTAGTGATTCCCAGATATGTGTTTTAATTGGCCATCAAAATACTTCAGACATGCTGCTTAGGTGAGCTACACCCCATAGCTGTGAAGATAAAATTGGCAATGGTCAGAAATGGACAGTTAAAACCACAATCGGGTAGATTCGCTCCCATTCATTCCATTCCCTTTATACCACTCAAGTGGTGCAAAGTGAAGACTGATTGACTGCATCTTCCTTCCTAGAGATTCTCCTGGTGTGGGAGAGCTTCCAAAGGGCAGGGAGGCTGTTCTAGGCCATCATTCCTGCACTTAGGAAAGGGCACGTTGGGGACAAGAATTTGAGGCCAGATCACAGTGTGCTATAGCTCTGCCTAGCTGGTTGAGAGTTCTGAAGCTACTCTAACCAGTGTGAGGGCTTGATAGAGAATCAGTGAACTTTAATAGTCTTCCTGATGAGCTCTTTATTCTCTTTCTTTGAGCATAAACTTGGCAAGTTAAACTCTGGCACACTAGCTTTAAATATAATGTTAATTGTCCTTGCTATACTTTCATCTCAATATACAATTACATATGTAAAGTAGGGATAGAAAGTTTGTAAAATAAGATTTTAAAATGTTTTTTACATGTTAGGCATGATATTTTTCCTCACGCAGCAGAAACTGAAAGTGCTATGACGACAGCAATCAGATCTCTGACAGGGTGAGATTCATGTTGCTCAAAAGTGAGACAAGCTTGTTGATCATAAACTATATTCATTGAGCTTTTAATAGAACTCCTGTTAGCCCAAAATACTGTTATAACAAGATGCAGGATGGAGCTGATAGTTTAAATGAAGGAGAAAAGGTATTGGTTCCCAACAGACCCTACAGTAAGTTGGTCACTCCCTGTATTTCATGATTAAAACCTAAATTCTAGTTTGGAATTTTCCTAGTAAAAGAGAGTGAGAGAAAGTGTGTACCGAGATAATTTGTTTGTATATGTGTGCATGTGTAAACCTAGCTCTGAATGACAGAAACTTAGAAAAAGGTACAGAAAAACATAAAATATATGCACACAGCTGACATTGTTTTACACAGACAGGCCTCCATTTAAACGTAAGTGCCTAAAGTTAGACTCTTAAATCTATATTTAGGCAACTAACTAAAAGTGACCTGAATTTCAATGTTGAGCACCCATAAATCCCAATGAAGTGAATACTAAAGCTAGAGGTACTAGGCAGCATTGAGTATCAAATCACTTTTAGTTAAGTGCTGAATATGGATTCATGAGTCTAACAATATGCACCATGGTTTGAAAATGTGGTCATAATTTTTTGCAATATGACACAGGGTTATTTTGCATTGTAAGGGTAAAATAACCACTCTCCCCACCACTCTAGCTATATATTTAGTTTAACATTGAAAACAACTGTCTCCTTTAAAACAAATCCTTTTCAGGATGTTTTCCTAAGCCTTTATGTAAATACAAATATTATTTAGAACACAATGAACTATTTAGAAACTCTAAACAAACTTCAGTCAAGGAACAAATTTTTATTATCCTACATATCCATTGAAATACAGCAGTAGATAGTTAGTTTATATATTATATAACCCAGCTCTAGTCCTAGAGTATACTGTTACTACTACTTCTCAATACAAAGAAGTTTTGTTTCCTGAACCAAACACATGAATGAACAACTCCTCTTTCTAATTAAAAGCTAGAAATACTGTTGGTTGTCAGTACTATAATTTAGTACATTGTTATGTTTTCTATTCATCAAGTCATGCAGCTTACTTAATCATCAACACTTCAGTATGTATAAACATGAACATTAATATAATCCGGCAATTCAAATACATAGTTCAACAGAGGTCTGAATTCTATATTTATTAAAATATTCCTGTATCAAGACACATAATGTCACATTTTCCCCCTTTTGACTCTTTCTACTTATCAGCATATTTACTTTAAATCTCTGCCATCAATAACATCTAGTAAAACTGTTAGTTATAAAATGTGAGGTCTAACAAAGTAACTGCGGCACAGAGCTATCTGTTCTCAGAAGGCAGCCATCTGGGTTTGTTTATTTGTGTTTTCAACTTTCTAGAATAGGGAATTACTCTGTTAGAAACGGAACACCCTGTAATGGAAGTATTCCACAGAATACTGTCTTCCTCTAATTATACATAGAAATTTTAAGTTTCATTTCAAGCAGTATTTTAAAAGACCCTTAAGAAGTAGAAAGAATTTAAAAATAGGATAATAAAAAACGGAATCTATAAGAATCTTACTAAAATGTCTGCAATAAGGTTGAAAAAAATGTTTCTTTAAAGCATTTTAAAAGTTATTTCTATATAAAGTAATGAGCTATGACTGCAGGTCTTTGGAAGCTGAATAAATTAAATACAACAATTATTCATTTAGGGCCAAACTTCACCACTTCTCCTTTTGTGAGTAGCAAAATGAAAATCATGTGAGTGTGTGTTACTCAAAGTCATTAAGGATGGCAGAATCTAGCTCACTGGAATGTAGGAAAATCTTCCAAGCAGTTTTTGTCCAGTTTCCTTACTAAGGACAACCTTGTAACTTTTTTTGTTTAATATAATAAGACCTTTCAACCTTAATTTTATCTGAGAACCTTAGATTTAATATTACCGAGTAAAAGGCTGGTGTGTTATTTAGCTTTGACAAGGTACATGAACTTCACTTTCTCTTGAGTCAGAAGAGTTAAAAATAGAACATGTAGTTTCTCCTTTTGCAAAAACTTTCTAAGATAAAATAGAAGAAAATACCTTCTAAAGTAAAATCCAGCAATACATATTCATAAGCAGAGTCAGTCTTTGTTTCCACTTGTGGTCTCTTCAATGTAGAAAATATTTTTCCAGGGCTGCTATCATCTTGCTCTTCTAGCTTTCGTAGTCCGCACCCCATGGCAAGATCTGTAAAGAAAAAAATTGCAGGAAAGGGGGTGGGGGAAGCAGCAAGTTCTGTTAGTCTGACTGAAAAACAAAAGTAGCAACTTTAACTGCCTTGGATTTTGTTTACTAGTAGCCATAAATCCAAAGACAGAAAAATTTCAATTCCCAAGTTAGAAAATGAAGACATTTTCTATTAATTTTTCCATATAAGCATTGCACTCATAATTACTTCAAGCTACCAATGCAGCAAGAGTGAGCTTGATTTTACAGAAACGTACAAGCTGCTACAACTTAGCAGAGATTTTCCATGCCACGTCAATTTACAGCCAGCTCCCCCCCCCCACATCAGCATTCTGTTGCAGAGGACACCAATAGTGCTTTGTCTATCCCCCTTGGCTGACTGATAATGAGGCAAAAAAGAACTGAAATAATAAAGTTAGAGGGAAACATATATAATTACCTATTGTCAGAAGATCTATTCAGATGAAGTAGTAATTGAGAAGAAAAAGCAAGTCAGAATGAAAGAATGAGAAAAGAGAGTCTCAACATGGTTAGAGACGAAAATCATTTCCAGAAAGGAAGTCAGTTTCAAGAGGAAATTGCTTCTGGCATCTCAAAGGGGAGGAAAGTAAATGAAAAGCACTTTAGACTCTATTTTAGATTTGAAACGTTGATTCCTATTTTCTTTCCATAGGAATTTTCTTTTACATGAGAAAACATACATGACCATGCTGTAATAAAGAATATTAATGGAAAGAAGTATGTATATGATGACAGTAAAATGTATTTTAAAAAAATCTAGGTTAGTAAAAGTTAGTTATAATTTACTTTGAAGGGTCATAGTAAAATACATCTTATGTTAAACCAAAGAGACTTTTGTTTGGTTATGCAATATGAAAAGTTCTGGAGTCATTTCCCTTCCATTCTTTAGGTACATTAAATAGTTTAAGACTTTTCTTTCATCAGGCTTACTATAGTGTTTATTACTGTAATGGATTTTCATATTAGTAAAGAGATGGTTTTAAATCACAACATAGCTCTATGAAGTTGTAACATAAAAGAGTTTTCTACAGTGGAGAAAATGGGATGTGGTGTAGCAACAACGGTGACACAGTAGACCCAATTTTGTCTTCAGCTGCAGGAAGAGAACTCACACTGAAGTCACTGCTTCCAATTTTGTCTTACCATACAACAGTGCATGCAGTTGTACCACGATGTACATCAGAGCTAAATAATAGTGATTTCAGTGGGAGATGTGTACCTGAAACACAGAGGGCATCATTTGTCTCTATGTATGGAATTTGTATTATATCAGGATAGCATGTTGGAAAAAGAGGTATTTGGGAAAGATCTCATGTATTGTTTTAGATGAACTAGTTGATTAGTATTCAGTGTCCTAGCTAGAACTGGGCAATTAATTTGATTTTTTTGGCAATTCCAAAAAGTAGGGGAAAATTTTGGCTCAGGTCAGCTTGAACAAAACCCAACAATTTTGGAATTTTCAGTGAATCAAAAAAACAGAAAAATTGTGTTTTGAGCTTCCAGAGAGAAAATAGTGTGAGAATGATCTGGCCATTCACTTGGGAAGGGATGAAAGAACATGCCGGGATTCCAGTTGCTGCTCCACTGAGCATTTAAGTAAAATATCCTTTACCCTGGGAATTGGGGCACTGACTCAGCAGTGGAGAGATCTGGATTCAAGTCTTTGCTCTGGAATAGGGATTCAAATCTAGATCTTCACTCAGGTGAGTGCTCTAACCACTGGGCTAAAGGCAAGGAGGGGGCAGCTCCTCCTCCTTCCATGGTTTTGGTAGTGGATATATTCCAAAAATCAAATTGAGATGTTTTATTAACATAACAATTAACCATTTTGACATTTCTAAAATATTTTTGTTTTGTTTTGACCAGAATAATTCACTGAAACCAACATGAATTTGTGAAATGTTTTGGTTGACCTAAATCTGTATTTCTAATCACAGACAAGTTTTGCCAAAAATTTCACCCAGCTTTAATCCTAACTTCTCTTTCGCTGTTTCATGTTCTCTGTTTTTATTCCTGTTCCACTGTAATGTTAATAAATGGTTCACGTTTTCATTTAAGAAGTTTGCAAGTAATTACAAATACAAAAAAGCCGTATTCTGTCCATTCAGTGTCCTTTGGATCAATGAAACCAAGGGTAGAATCTGAGATTTCTGATTCAAAACATACATCAAGTACAGTATCAGAGGACCTAAAAACTGCTTAGATCAGACATCTTTCTCTGACTTGTGAAACTACTCCTTTCAAAACACTCAATTTCTTGGAGCTAAGTGAGTCCATAAGGAGTCTTTAAGGAGGAGGAACTCAAACAGTCTATCCTATTTATTTATCCCCAAGCCAAGGGGCAAAGACAACATGGGCTGTGCATCCTTGAGAATGTCTTCACAGACATTTAAAGTCCCTCGTGGGCTGATGTGCAACTGACATCTTATTACAGTTTGCACATATTTTAAATCTGGGCCTATTCATCTGATTTTTCAATCTTGGAGTGATGGGCACCACTAAAGCAATCTTAATGCTGTACTAGTTTTCTAAAAACTAAACAATTTAAGATTACTCGTTACTAGTTTCAGACAAATGCAAATAACAGAGAAAAAATGAATAATTCCTAGAGCAAAGGCCGAAAAACAAAGAATGAGAGAATATTTGGACCAAGCATTTCTCATAGGCCATGTCTACACTACAAAGTAAAGTCGAATCTAATATGGTCAATTTCTGGGCACCTGATTTTGCAAAGTTGAAGTTCCATGTCCTCACTACGGGGAAGAACTGAATATAGTCCGAAGTAGCATGTCCCCATTAAACAGCCTACCTTCAACTCAGAGACTGATGCACCATGAGTAACTTTGCATTCTGAGCTATACTCCAAAACTGTGCAGTGGGTGCTTTTAGGCCCATGTCATCAGCCTCCCATAATGCACTCATTAAATCCCTCCTCCCTTGCATGAGATCAATGAGAAGCAGTGTTTCCGTATCTTTTTGTGCCCTGATTTCCCACGCAGATGCCATAGCAGTGCAAGCATGCATCCCGGTCTGCCGCAGACCGTACTGATGTTGATGTGTGCTGTGGTGCACCTAGTGGCACATTACTTTGAGAGCATACACATGTCACTTTACCAGGAAGAGGAGGAGGACAAATCTCAGCTTGGCATGGAGTCACTACTCACGCAAGCCCTGGTGCTGATGCAAGTGCAGCCACCAGTCAATTCTGTGGACAAAATGGTATGCTGCTTCTGGTGCTGTGAGACAAGCACAGACTGGAGGGAGGGCATTGTGATGCAGATAGGATGATCAGGAGGGGCTGGAAAACTTCCGAATGCACAAGGCCACTTTCAGGGAGCTTGGTGAATGGCTTTCCCCGGCCCTGAGGTGCCAGTTCTGACTTGTTCTGACCCTGGAGAAGCGTGTGGCAATAGCCCTCTGAAAGCCTGCAACACCAGACAGCTTCCGTTCAGTGAAAAATCAATTTGGAGTGGGGAAATCTACAGTGGGGGCTGTTGTTACAGAACTAGTGAAGGTGATCAATAACATCTTGCTATGCAGGGTTGTGACTCTGGGAAATGTGGATACCATAGTGGATGGCTTTGCTGAAATGGGGTTTCCTAACTACAGTGGGGGGATAGACGGAACACACATCCTCATCTTAACCACCGACCACCTGGCCAAGGAGTACATAAACCACAAGAGGTACCTCTCCATGGTGCTGCAGGTGCTGGTGAGTCATAGGGCCAGTTCACTAGGACTATCAGTGTGGAATGGTTGCAAAAGGTGCATGACACACACATCTTTAGGAACTCCTGCCTCTTCCATAAGATGCACAGAGAGGAAAATCAGAATCTGAGAGGTGGAAATGCCTATTGCGATCTTTGGTGACCCAGTCTACTCCTTGCTCCTGTGGCTCATGAAGCAGTACATGGGCAGCCTGGGACCCCACCAAGGGGGAGTTCAACTACAGGCTGAGCAAGTGCAAACTGGTGGTTGAATGTGGTTTTGGATATTTAAAGGGTAGATTTAGGAGTCTCCTGACTTGGTTGGACTTCAGGAAAAGCAACATTCCATTTGTGGTGGCAGCCTGTTGTGTGCTCCATAATTTTTGAGACAGCAAGGGGGAAACTTTATCTGGCAGCGTGGGCTGCGGAGGCAGAGCGCCTAGGCAAAGGGTTTGAGCATCTGGACAATAGGGCAATAAGGAGAGCAAAGCGTGGGGCAGCCCAAATCAGAGATGCCATGAAGGACCGTTTTATGAATGGCCAGTTCTGAGTCTTCCACGTTGCTCTCAACAAGTTGCTCCTGCATTCCCTCTGTTTGCCTCTAATCCCACACACCACCCCTACGGTACAAGCAATACAGACAAAATAGTTCAAAGAACAGGAGTTCTTATTTGGTGAAAACAACTGGGAAATGAAAGAAGTGGGAACCTGAGGGGGCGGAGGGGCTAAGAAACACACATGTAACAGCCTTTTGTCTCCCAAGGTCCTGGAAGTAAGGCTGCCCTTGAGTTCTCCCCCTGGTCCCATGTCCTGGGACCCCGGTGGACCCCAGAGACCTTAGGAGTGGAAGCAATGGGTCTGGGGGAGAAAGGACTGAGGCAGATGGGGTTCTGGGAGGAAGCCATGCAGCCAGGCGCTCCATCAGAACTATCACAGGGGCAAAAAGAGTATCCTGCTGCCTCACCTGCTTCTCCCTGGCAGCTCTCCTCTCCTGGCATTCAGCAATCTAGTCCTGTCATTCTGCCTGCATCTTCTCCATAGGGGAGTTCATGCATTCCCTCTGCTCTCTGATTATGTCCTCCCTTGTGCGTTTTTGCCTGTGGATCTGAACCAGGCAGGCAGATGCTCAAAGAAGGGGAGTACGCAGCAAGCTGGCTGCACTCCCAGCTGCATGAAAAGTTACAAGGGCACACATTACAGCACATACATTGTGTTACACTTACCCCATATCCATTAGCCTATTCCGAAGGTCTCTATAAAGACAATGGAGATGTGTTCTATTCAAAGTCAAATGTTTGCTTTAAACCAGGCACTTTACAGCAGGTACACAGAGTTCCCAGTGGAGCATCTGGATTCATGCGGTTCAGAGGTAGGCAGGCACAGTAAGGGGCCAGCCAGGAAAGGAGCCTGCAGGCAGGAGGGGGGAAGGGGTAGGGTTGGGTCCAGCAAACACAGCTTCCCAGGACAGTTCTATACTTTCCCAGCCTGCAGGTGGGACAGGGGGAGCAGGGTGGGAAGGGGAGGGAGAAGTGTGCCACGGTGTGCTGCTCACTCTGAGATATGCTCACAACGCTGGCCATATGGGAAATGGAATTCAAATTTTCCATTTTTTTCCCTGTTCACCTGGCAAGCAGTAGAGGTGCAAGTTCTGGCCAGAACTGTGGGATGCCTTCTGGAGGCCAACAGCCTCAACTTTTGCCAATGCTGCATCTACACTACCGTAAACTCCACCATACCAGGTTACTCCTCATGAAATCAGGAGTAACCAAGATTGACTTCAACAACCTTTAAGGTTGATGCGACAGGCTTGGTAGTGTGGACACATTGTTTAGAAAATCAACCTTATGTAGCT